GAGCCAGAAGATTGAACCTCAAGTCCTAAGAAATAAGTTAATGACCCTAAATCTTTCATATGAAAAGAATCCTGAAGACGTTTCTATAGCTGAGACATCAATTGATTATCAGATCCTGTGATGACATTATCATCAACATATACAAATAACAAAACAATTCCCTTGTCAATCTTGCAATGAAATAATGATAAATCATACTGACTTTGAATAAAAGAGAAGCTAAGAAGGGTATTGCGAAACTTTTCAAACCAGGCCCGTGGAGCTTGTTTCAAACCGTACAGGGACCTTTTGAGCTTACAAACATCATGTGAAGGAGTAGAAAATAAGCCTGGAGGAGTCATAAAGACGTCTTCTTTGAGATCCCCATGTAAGAATGCATTCTTAACATCCATCTGCTTTAAGAACCAGTGTTTAGATGCAGTTATAGATAACACCAGTCGGACAGTTGTCATCTTAGCCACAGGTGCAAATGTTTCGTCATAATCAATCCCGTATTCCTGTCGGTTGCCAAAAGCTACCAATCTTGCCTTATGTCTGTCAAGAGAGCCATCAGATCGGAGTTTAAGAGAATAAACTCATTAACATCCAATGGGTTTAACACCTGTAAGATATGAAACAATATCCCAAGTGTGATTATCTTGAAGTGCCTGAAGTTTCTCTTTCATGGCTTTCATGCAGCAAGTCTGTTTAGCAGCTTGAAAGTAAGAGGTAGGAATAACAGCATTAGTTAAAATTGCAGAATACCCATATCTATCTGGAGGATGGATACGTCGGGTTGATCGTCAAATACTTATTGGAGCAATTTCTGGATCAGGGTCGAGGATGTTTGAAGATGAAAGGGGCAGACGTCATGTGTAGACTGTCTGGCTTGAACATTTTTTCAGCAGAAGAATTATCAAATTTTGCAAGTATAACTGTATCTGATGTGGTCACATGATGCTGAAAGTGTTCAGGCCTTAAGAAAAAATTTTTGAATCTGATTGGAAAGGAGACTCCTCACCCACAAGTTGTGGAAGTTGTTATGGGAAGACACTTGCAGGTTGTGATGTACCAACTTCTGACTGAGCTGCCAATTTATGACGTTTATGAGCAGATAGATGAACAAAGCAAACACATCCGAAA